AAAAAAAAAAAAAAAATGCTCATTGACTTCATGAAAAATACCAGAAAATCAACACGGACTGCTGACGGTTTTTTTTTTCCGCCAATAACAATTCCAAGTTCATTTACCCAAATATATTTCCTTCACTTAAAATGATCTGGATGTATAAATGCCACATATTCCGAATGCAATTCATCGTTGTCCTTTTGTTTCCATATCTCACCATTCGCATGCACGAGCCACGAGATTTGAGGAAGTGCAGCAAAATCTGCTGAAAAAATTACTAAAACCTTTGTAACCAAATACCGTAATGCTAAAATTAAAAGAGAAATATTGATTCCTCTGATTCAAAAAGGAAAAAAAAGGATAATATCAAAACATTTCGGATGTTTGAAGTATTTACCCCCCAAAAAAAATAAAATAAAAATAAAATAAAATAAAATTGAAAACCTACACAGTACCCAGATTGACTGAAAAAACCTCTGGTGGGGTGTGTTTGTGCAATTTTGAAACTTTTCTGGACATGTCTGTAATGTAGTCGAATCTTGAGGGTGGTTTAGCAAATTTCCTATAAGGATAGAGTGGGGTAAGTACCTGAAGATGACTGCTTTTCGGGATCTCTTGTAATGTGCAATACTACTGTACCCGCAAGTACAGTTACAAATCCACAGAGAACCGAAACAATGCTACTAACACTCTGACCAGACCAATCCTAGAGATTGTCACAAATATTAGAGTCTCAGTGGAAAAAAAACAGCGTAAAACCGTTAAAAAACCAGACTATTCTTAAATACCTTAAACATTATGGCACTGGCAAGAATCGTGAGTGATGTGAACATAGCATAATAGATTGGAGATACTACAGCAGTGTTAAACGTGTCGAGAGCCTGAAAAAAAAAATAACAAAACAAAACCCAAAAATTTCCTCAAAACTTTATGCAACTGGCATATGTCTATTCAGGTATAGGCATTGATGCATGGAGTTAATTCGTTTCAAAAATTTCGGCGTGAGAAATAAACAAGTGTTATTGAATTTTGATGAATAAAAAATGTTCTAAAAGCAAACCTTGTTTAAGTAGACTAATTGAGTGGCAATGCAAGTAACCGCAACCATTGCAAATACCCATGACTTGAAATGAGCTACTTGACTATAACCTTCCAGAGTGAGTTTTATGGCAATACCTATAGCTTTGATGCTCATAACCTGAAACGAAGCTAAAATATTTTCATCCAGTGCCCACAAACGGGATTTAACTCACAATACTAAATACCTATTATAGATTAAACCGTATTATACATGTACTTACAGTTAAGGATCCAATTACGGAACAAATTCCGATATAGACCATGATGTTTGTCTGTCCATACCGTGGTTCACAATGCAATACAAGTACCAAGACAACTGCTGCTATTGAAGCCATGTACAAAAGAAAAGCTGGAGCAAGAAAAAAAAAAAAAAAAA